AATTCGTATTGCTTTTTAACACTAAAACATTTCTACACCTTTATTCTAACTCTGGAATACACAGAGTCTCTTGTGTCACCTGATACATTATAAGAAAGCTATTCTAGAACTCATTTATTTTTCATACCCCTGAAAGTTCATAAAATAATCATAGCTTATTTCCATATCTTATTTTGCAGTGTGTTCTGTGATACTGTGACAGAGCTTGTGAGGAAGTCTTTGTAGCCAGAGCGGACCCCTGTCCCAAAGATGATGAACTCTGCCACTTAGGTTTAACAACACAGCAGTTCATAGAAATAATTGGAACCATTTTTCTTCTGCACAGTAAATTTCGTATGTCCCTCTGGCTTTCAAAATCACTTTTGGATGTGTAGTTGAAATATGTTTAGGATTGAGTGTGATGGGAGTTTAAGAACATTTCATTGATTCAAAGTACTCGGCGTTGGCTAGAAAACATGTCAAATTTCTCAGTTAACCGATATTCAATAAATTACTTTTAATACTATAACTTTACATTGTGATAGAACTAGGACCTTGTGGTAAGCCTCCAGACTCACAGAATCAGAGAACCTGCACGAAGCATGCATTTTCATGATGCTTGGCAACCAGAGGTAGTAACCCATTGTGACATTGATTTCAAGTTGTAAGACCTTAGTGTGAAGAGCCAGGAAGGTTTCTGAGCAGGTGTTTGAGTGCCCTCTGGAGGCCTTGTGAACAGTTGAAACGTGGACTCCTAGCAAGAGCTTTCTTTCATAGCCAGAGTTGAGAACCAGTGGGCGAGATGGTTGAAACTGGTGTGGATGTTAGGGGCAGAGGAGAGGGGAGATGGAACCCACGGGAATGTACTAGTGTTTACAGGAGCTTGCCCCGCCAACTGAAAGTACCGGGTTTATGCAGTGAGTATAGAACATAGAGGCTGTAGGGTCACAGAAGGAGCCAAGGGAGTGTGGCCAGTAATGTCCAGATAAAGAATAAAAAGTGCCCTTCGATTGGCCAAGAGAAGACCAACAGTGAGAGGAACCTCGGTGGTGTGGTATTGGATTGAGACATGAATGGGAAGTGAAGCAATAGAAATCCGGAAAAATCAGTCTTTAAGAGGTCTGGATGGGGAAATGGAGGGTGGGGCCAGGGAGACAGGGCAGCTAAAGAAGGCCTAGGATTAAATGCTGTTTTTCCTTAAGGTCGGGGGAGACTTCTGCATTGTGTTTAAATGCTGAAGGGAAGAAACAAACACAGAAAGAAAACAGTTGAAAGGGGTGTGGGGGCCAGGGAGGAGGAGAGACTTGGTTTCAAAGTTCTTTGCCCAGGAGATTTGTTGAGGGAAGAAGTTGCCTTTTATAGGGACTTTGAGTTTGGCAAAGTAGTGATTTTCAGTTTATCATGGGATGATGGGAAAATAATTGTAGTAGGCAGTTGGAGATACAGGTAAGAAGAAAAGACTGTGACAAAAAACTGTGGCATCATCATCATGGAAATAGTCATCACTCTAGTCAAGCAGGTAGTTGAGCTAAAAAATGGGGACAGGACATACTGTATGGAGGACTCCTATATTTAGGCATAGGCATCAGAGATGGCAGACACACTCAGCAAAGCCAGAGGAAAAGTGAAAATGTGCAGGGAACTGGGAGCTGAGGAGATGGTAGACTAGGAGTCAGGGTGAGGCAGGAAGAACGGCCCGAGATATGACTTTGAGAGCAGTTTGTAGTGGGGGTTGGGGTGCAGAATGGTGTGTAGGAGGCGCACACAGAAGATATTGTAGATGCTGTGGAGGAGCTCAGCGGTGAAAGTGAGAAGAGTGAATTGGTCTTAGTCGGGGGATGGCTCCAGAGAACACATGTCGCTTATCTGTGCATATGAAATTAAAGCTGTAATCAACAGTGACTCTAGAAAGGATTATATTTGCTTTTTTGCTTTTAACACTATCATCTCAGAATGTAAGATCTAAGTTTCGTGTAACTTTTGTGCCACTTCCTGCTCTTCTCAGATTGAAAATCTGACCAAAAGGAAAAAAATGTTTAGGTCTCTTCATGACATTTGAGGGAGTTCTTGCGGGAGAGAGTAAATGTGACTGATTTTTGATTTATTGTTATGACACATGTCAAATGTTAAATCCTTTAAATCTGTGAGACCATTTGTTCTCATAAATGACATGTAAAAATACTTGATAAAACTAATAGTATGGCTAATAGAAATTATTTGGCTTCACTTATTTAAAATATTTCATTAAGAAAAGATAGCTGGGCGCCATGGCTCAAGCCTGTAATCCCAGCACTTTGGGAGGCCGAGACGGGCGGATCACGAGGTCAGGAGATTGAGACCATCCTGGCTAACACGGTGAAACCCCGTCTCTACTAAAAAGTACAAAAAACTAGCCGAGCGAGGTGGCGGGTGCCTGTAGTCCCAGCTACTCCGGAGGCTGAGGCAGGAGAATGGCGTAAACCTGGGAGGCGGAGCTTGCAGTGAGCTGAGATCCGGCCACTGCACTCCAGCCTGGGCGACAGAGCCAGACTCCATCTCAAAAAAAAAAAAAAAAAAAGAAAAGATAAAAGATTTCTAATATCAGAAGTGGTCAAATAACTGTGTTGAAATCTGGGAGGTGGGATTTGACCTCTCACTGTAGACTGAGTGCCCAGTTTGAGTGGCCAGGTATACTGTTTAAGCATACACTTATCCAAGGGGTTGGAATGGCAGGTTCCAGGTTAGGCCCATACATGTCCACTGCTGTGGGACTGGTGTGAAGACCTGTGAAGGCCTTAAGCCATTTTAACCTTTGGTGGCCTTTACTATGTCATATTAAACATTAAATCACCCATATCCCACATAAAATTAGCTTGTACAAAACCATGTGAGTTGAGCTTTGATTGGCTGTAGACATCTAACATTTATTAACTTTAATTTTGCAATTTTCTTTGCATGTTTTGCATCCAGTAATTTTTTTTTTCAGATTTCAAACATTTACATAGGTCCTCGAGATGTTCATGAGCCTTAGGGACTGTGCCTATATGCCTAGAGATAAGACATCCCTGTTCTGCTGGGAAGTGGACATTGGGTATGTCTAGGCATGTCTGGCGGGGGCACGGGAGGGGGTGGACTTGCCCAGAATCTGTTTGTTTGTGGCACTGAGGCACCTCCTGGGAAAACTTCATCTTAAGGAGGAGTTGAAGGAAGTGTTTTAGTTAGGGATTTTTTGTTGCAAAGAACAGAGGTTCATTCAGACCACTTTCTGTACAAGGGGCTATATTGGAGGATGCATGTGGATCAGACCCATGAGGAACTCAGGTTGTCCAGAGACAAGCCACAGTCTTCTCATGGACAGTGGGGTCTCTCACAGCATTGCTCATTTCTTTGTGTCTTTCTCTTCTTGCTGCCATCTGGCTTGTTTTTCCCTCCCCTATATGTCTTTTCTAACCTTTTAGCTTCTCCTTGCTTATAGATTCTACTTCCTCATGACTTTGGTTTGCTGTAATCTCATGACCTCTGCAGTCATTTTGGGATCATAACCTCTCAGCTTCATCTCTCACAGTTGATAACCTCATTCTCTCAGTATTGCTTAGATTCCTGAGAGAGGGGGATCTGATTTTGTTTTGCTTTTATTGTTGTTCCAAGCCACATCATATGTCAGAGTTAAGCTCTTGGGTCAGATATCTGCACTTGGTCTCTGAAGTGGTCATGTGGCCCATGGCTGCCTGGGCTTACCCTTAAAGCTGAAGCAGTTCCCATTAGTAGGATTTGTAGGCTAGCAGGCACCATGATTGGCATGTATAGTTCAGTAACGGAGAAAAAAACCTGGCCCGATATCAAGACCATTTGAAATTCCTCCAAATGTATTCCTGACCTTTAAAATATTATCCTGCTAACAGCTTTCATTCTAAGTTTAACCTTTATTCCCACAGAGAAACTAAAATAGCTAAATGTGTTTAAAGCATTTTCACTTTTCCATTTTCTTCCTGTTTTATTCAGTCTCTGACAGTGCAGGGCCACTCAGCGTAGTCTACCGGACTCTATTTCTAATGTTAGCGATTTCTGCTGAAAATGATATAGCAACTTCAGATAGTTATTAGCAAGTTGGATCATTCTAACCACATGCCTTTCATGTAATCCTTTCCCCTAAAGCTCTGGGGAGCCATAGAGGAATACTGTAATTCAGCACTGTCCCTAGATTGACAACAGCTAGAAAAACATGTAAATGTCCCATCCACATGTAGATACGGCAGCAATGTGAACCTAAGTTCCTTAATATATCATAACTCCCAAGGGAAAGTGAAGTTCCCCAAACTTAAAGCTAGATCTTGAGATCTATACCCAAACTTCTCTGAACAATTATAGAATATAGCAGAAGGGGGGAGGTAGTAGATGGAATAAATAAAATAATGATAATGATAGCTTTGTTGAGCCCTTAAAATTTGCCAGGCAGTGTTTTAAGTAATTCTCATGGATTAATTGATTTAATCCTTAAATTACCTTATAAGATCAGGGGCCTTTATTATCTCCATTAACTCATTCTTAACCTCTTAGGTGAAGCTTCCATAGCAGGTATGCAGTAGGACCAGGACATGAACTCGCCCAGTCTGACTCCAGTTTGTGCTTCTTCAGCACCCTGAGAGACTGGAAAATCCGTGAAGAAACACTATTGATTGTTTACTCCCTGGCATTTTAGCCAGTCTGAGTCAGTTTTATCTTATACCTATGAACCTTAAACTCATTTTGGATCAGGTTCCCATCACAAGGCTAGTTGTGATACTGGGATACCTATATCTTGGAGGGAAGTTGTGCAGAGTGCCTGGATTTTCCTTTCTGTGGTTTCTCAGATTTGCTCTTCCCTTCTTTGGGCCTCCATGCCTTGAATCCCATATATTTCTATAAATCCCAGATGTAAATGGGTCTGTCCTGTCTTCTGAGCTGGTACCCCACATTTATAATAGCTAGTTTATGAAAACATTTTGTGATCCTAAATTCTCTATAAATAAACCCATTTTTCTCTCTGCATTTCTCCCATCCAGCAGGATCCTAAGGCCTTTGTAGCCCTTCAGCCACTGTGGGCCCTGCCTCTGCCTGTTCTTCTGGAATATCTTGGGGGTTTTGATCCTGTCATTGTGGTAAGTTTTCCCCTTGTTTCACCATTTGTCCTGGATGGAGAATCCCCCTTGAGTATTTTAAGCCAAAGCTGTCTCTAGAATTTTTTCTGAGCATGTGCCCTTTGGGGCTTAATAAGGAAGCAGCTCTCCATGTCTCACACTTCCTGACCTCGCCTTTATCTGGCATTGAATTCCTCAGATCTTGGACCACCTTCCTTACTCTCAAGATGTCAGAAACATTTTTGTCCATCTCCTCAGGATCTTCATTTTCTTCTTTCCATGTGAACTATTGGTTATTAAAACTTTGTTTCACTTGTCCCATTTTCTTCTGCCATCTTGGAGGCCTTATATGGATTCTAGATCTCATGCCACTCTTTGTCTTCTTCTTCTGTTGTTCCTATCCTCACCGAGCTATCAGAACTTTTTAAAAGCTCGTTCGCTCTATACATTTCTGGTGTTTTTTCCCCCAATGCCTGAAGAGTAGCTTTTTCCTTAAATATAAGTTCCTGAAAATCTTCTTACTTGAGGATTATGGTTTCACATCCATCTGTGCAGACTTGATTCTGAGTGTCATTGTGTTCCCAACACAACTATTTTTTTTCTTTGTTTTCTCTTTGGATTCGTTCTTTTTTAAAGATTTTTTTCCTCCTCCTTTACTCAGCTCAAGAAGACAAGATATATAGGACAAGTATTTGTTTATCTTTATTTGGTCATTGCTGAAATCCAGAATACTCCAGTCGAACATACAGTCTAGATCTCTGATTCACAGACATCATAAAATTGTATGTTATTTCCATGCATAGCTGGGCAGCAAGAGAAAGGAAAGCCTTTGTCTTCATAGCTGCTGGCTTCTGGGGGAATGAGCTTCTTGTCATTTCTCCTGCTGCCAGAGGCTGGTTGCTCAGGCCCTGGGATTCTGCCTTCCCAGACTTCACTTTCCCATGCAACAAAGAGGATTGGCTGTGGGAGGTAAAGGACATTTTGTTGGCCTCTGTCCTAGTGGGTCTAGTGACTGTGTGTCGTTAGAAGGCTAAGCCTACGTGGATGTGTGATATCTTTTCTTGGCTGTCTGTGGCTAGAGTGGAAAGGCTGGGGCTGCCCCTCAACAGAAAGGTCCTGACTATCTCTCTTCCTTTTCTCTCTTTTCCCATGTACTGGATTGGTTTTCAGGTGACTGACATATTTAGAAGTGGGGGCAAGTGGACCCTGGCATTTTGGCAAATGTTCTCTCTTCTCTGTCTCTTTCTGGCTGCATTCTCTCTTGTGCTGAGTTGGGTAACCTCGGCCAGTCTTTACTATGTGTAGTAAGACCAAAGAGTTATGTCTAATATTATATGAATTCCTTTTCATACCCGTGTGTGCTTTGGTGTCAGTTTAAGATTGCCACTAATGTAGGGAAAAGGAGTTCTCTATGTAATCCAGCCTACGTTATGGAATGCTGCATTGGGAATTGGATTCACAGGTCCAGCTAATAATAAAGTGTTGTGTATTTTCAGTTCAGTCCTGTGTACATTTCCATCTAGGGTACCTAGAAGTTAGGGGTGTTTGCTGAGCCCACTGGCCAGATTTGGTATTAGCCATTAATAAGCTACATTTTCAGAGTGGCACTGGATCAGCCTCTAGTGCCAGTCCTACAAGATCAAAAGCCTGAAGGCCAGAGTTCTGCATAATTTGTTGTGACCATTCCCTGGCCCTCTCTGAGAGTGAAGTGGCAATAAATTTCTATCCATCCATGCAGATACTGAATTCTAATGACCAAATCCTATCTATTCTTAGGATTCTCATCATCTCTGTTGATTTTTGGCTATAAGAGGTCACCTGCTCTTGCACTTTGTGCTTCCTGAGTGAGCCTACTCCAAAATCTCTCTCCCCTGCTTGCTTTGGTTTGCCAGACCATACATGTTATGAATTGTGACCCAGGTATAAAAATAGCCAGACTCTTGAGGTACTTGAGAATAGTCACATTCATGGAGTCAAGAAAGTAGAATGGTGGTTACTGCGGCTGGGGGAGAGGGAAAAGGGGAGTTGTTGTCGAATGGGGACAGAGTTTGTGTTGCAAGTTGAAAAAGCTCTGGAGATCTGTTTCACAACAGTGTGTATATATGTAATACTACTGAACTGTGCATTTAAAATAATTAAGATGGTAGATTTTATGTTATGTGTTTTTTACCACAGTTTCTAAAAATGTATACAAATATAGTCAGAATTACAAATCCCTAACTTTTGACCCCCTAACTACTGTGGCAACTCGCACTGCCAGCATCATTGAGGGCAGTCTTGCTAATTACCCACTTTTCATTTTGCCTGTTCTTCAGGGCCCAACCTGTCTTCCTTCTTCTTTTAGTTGGCTAGACTGGGACTCCTGTGACCTTCAGGTGTTCCTTATGCCTCTTCTTGAGGGTGACTTGGGCTTTCCAGTCTGTTCTTCTTTTCTTCTGGGCCTGAGCATGAATTTTGTCTCTTTAGGTCTTACTACCACAGTGGAAAGAGGAAGCAAGTTTAGTAAACGAGCATTAGAGCTAATCTGAACTAAGCCTCTGTGCTTCCTTTTGTGTTCCCTCCCTTCAACTAGTTCCTGCCTGACCTCAGAGCAGAAAGAATCCCCTGGCCAATTGTGAAAGGCTGGTCCCTTGAGGAAGACAAATCCAGTAGTCAGCCAAAGGGAAGGTTAAGGAAAAGGCAGAGTATGCAGGAAAGTGGGTTTTCTCATGTTCTGTTGTTCTTTCTGTGCATTGACTCTTTAGGTATCCTAATTGTATCCTGAGGAAATTGTATTTTTTTCTGTTACTTCATCAGTGTTCCTTGTTCCTGAGGAGGCATGAGTGGAGGGTGAGAGTGAGCAGCTCCATGACTCACAGTGGGACTTCTCTCTGTTTCATAGCTGAGTAAACTGAGGCTGGTGAGAATCAGTGACTTCAGTCAGACAGCTATTTAGTATTAGGTGAAGATTTTGACCTTAGGCCTTTTGAGCTGCAAGTCCAGTTTTCTACCCACCAAATTATTATGGTTCTTAGTGCATGTGTATGTTACACGTTTACTAGATAGATAAGATAAACTTAGGCCTTGTATGTGGGGTTCACGTAGGGGCTATCACTGAAGCTAATCATTGTGTCCCATTACTCAGGCGTTTCTGTATATGGGATTGAAGAGCAGAAAACAAAGTAGTGGAGTGCAAACCATGGGGAAATCTCACTAAAGTAATATTTTTTAAAAAGCAATCCTGTCACTAGAGGGTCAAGAAGGGAAAAGTTACAGGTAGGAACAGGGAGCAGCAGACACATAGGAATAAAGGCAGGGTTTCACCTTGAATGGAGGAAGAACCTTAATTACAGGGAGATTAGATCATCAGGTGTTTGGAAGCCTCTGCCTGTGAAATGACATTCTTGGCAAATGAATGAATGTGTTATGTGCTAATTAAAATAAAGGAAATAAGGAAACTAACATTCATTTAGCCTCAGCTATGCTGTGGGCACTCTTGATAGGTACTTTCATGTTTATTATCTTCTTTAATTACCCCAGCAAAGTGTTGTAGACATTATTATCCATACGTTTGCAGCTTGGTCAGATCAGCCACAGTCACATAGCAGGTGGCAGAGCAGAGGCGTACACCCAGTGATGTCATTCCAGAGGTCATTTTGTGAGAGGACTTGGCTGAAGGAAAGCTACAGAATGGATGCCTGTGTCATCCTTGATCACCCTGATAATACATGCACTTAGCCTTCTCAGATTTTCTTCTCAGACTCAGGAGAAAACTTGGCATCATTCCCTCAATAACTTTTGTTGCCCTTCTCTGGACCTAATTTCATAGTCTGTGGTAATTTCTTGTTAAAGAAAAATCAGACACAGCTTCTTTTGTCTTTTATCTTTTCTCCATTAGGAGTTATTAGGCTAAGTCGTGCAAAGACGAATTTCCGCAGGACAAAATGAAGCATATCTTCCCTATAGCTCTTTAAAACCCAGAGCCCAAATTATTAGCCATTGAACTTGTCTCTTGTGAGAGAAATCAAGGAACCTAGAACTTTGGTGTATAGGGTATAAGGAAGTGTGGGGGGCAGTAAGGAAAGAGAAGAAGGAGGCGAGGGGCCCAGATGCCTGGGGACCAAGTAGGAAAATGGTCTAAGGGTGGAGACAAGGTACTGGGAGTGTCTGGAAAGACTGTTGTCGGTTTCTCTACTAGTGCTCAGGAGTCAAGCTGAATCACAGGCTTTTCTAGCCAGCTGGTGGCAGGGCTGTGCACAGGAAGGCATCAGAAGTGATGTAAAATCCTCTCTTTTCAATCTGGAGCAGATTTTAAAGTTTGCCCTCATTCTAGAAAGGAGAGGAGTATACCCTGGCTGATATCCTAAATTTAGTTGGAGAATCCTGCTAAGAGTTAAAACTTCTTTTGACAGAACTCAAAAGTTGACTTCAGAACCCTTGGGGAAGTTGTTCCTATTATCACAGAGGCTGTGGTTATTAACAGCATGTTCAGGAAATGCTGGCTGCTACTTGAGCCACAGGTAAGGGCACATTTGAATTCCTGTCAGGGCGTGTTTCCAAGATGCTGCATGAATGACAGCCAATAGGCAGAGACTGATGTTCTTTTGAGGAGTCCACTTTTAGAGGTCATTCCACTTTTCAGAAGTGCATGTACTCCAGTGACTACAGCAGAATACATTGGTGCCTGAACTGACAGGCCTTTGAGTCAACAGAACCTGTAATATCTTCTGAGGCTGGGCTTTGTGTTGTGGAGGATTTGACCACAGAGATTTAGACCCGGGAATTATGGGTGTGCTTGGGTTACTCTGAGTGAAACTCTTCTCCTCTCAGTTTTGACCACCTCCAGCCTCTAGTAACCGAAGTTGGCCGGGAAAGACAAAGAAACCCAGGTTCACTTCTGTGAGTGATAAGCACACCTGAGAAAAAAGACCTGGCAGTTGGACCTTCCGAGGTGCTGTCGGCCAGAGGAGATGAAGTGTGAGAAGTTGAGTAGCTACAGGCCTTAGTGGCCACTTAAGAGGGTTTGGCGAAGTCAGAGAAGG